TAAGAAAGATGAAAGAGAAAAAAGAGAAACGATTTAGAGGAGATGACGTTAAATTAAAAATTAAAATAATAAAATAGTTGATACACAATATAAACAACCCATATATCTTGCAATTAACAAAAGCGTGAGCTGGAAGAGGTGAAACGATTTAGAAACTCAGGTGGTGAGAGAGCGATTAGTATCATGGACATCTCGGAAGCCGATGAGAGAAATGGAATAAATATCAGAGGATGGAACATCTTGAAGATTTGGACCGGTCGCCGTGCGAGTGAGTGAGTGCACCGAGAACCTGAGGGTAGAGAGAGACCCGCAACGAGTCTCACTTCCGAGCAGTGCAAGTCAAAGTGACAGATGCGAGAGGAGAGAGAGAGAGAGACTGCAGGGAAAGCGATTTGTAATGAGAGATTGCGGCGAAATGAGAAAAATGTAGAGAATGATAGTAGAGAATCATACATGGAGACGATGCAGAGAGAAATCAAAATTTTGAATTTTGAATCACCTCGGAAAAAAGTACAAAACCGGATGAGTTAAAGCAGTATGTCAGAACCTCTGTTCAAAAAGAGAAGAAAGTATGAGGTTAGGTGCTTTCGGAGACGTCCAAAACAATGCAGCAATTTCAAAAGAGGTCAGAACGTTCAAAAAAAATTTAACATGTTCTAAAATATTTTAGAAGTATCTAAATCAATTTAAAAATATTTAAAAAAATTTAAAAATTTTTAAAAAGTTATAAAAACTCATAAAAAATATAAAAATATTTAAAATATTTTAAAATATTTTACACATATTTTAAATTTTAATTTCTAAAAACATCCTTGTAAATATATATATATATATATATATATTTGTTATAAATATTTTTATGAAACACTCTAAAAAATGAATATAAATTATAGGATTGAATTAATCTTCACTGTCTATTAAGGAAGTAAGAAAACTCTAAAATAAGAAGAACATTTATAAATATCCTCTCATCCTCATTTGTAAATAACAAGCAAACCAAGTAAAGTTTTAAATTTTTAAATTTTTTCATTCAAGCTCTCTTTTTTCTTGTGTTTAAATTTTTTAATTCCTTTACCTTTACATTCTGAGAATTTGACTGTCTTAACAAAGATTAAAAGGTTAATTATGCAAAGACTGACGTGGTTAGAGGAGTACCATGGCCGTGACAAATAGCCATGAATGTGTATAAGTAGGGAGAGAGAAGGGGATACATTTTATTCCATCCCATTCCATCATGATCTTAATAGTAAATGAATCTAGCCAATGAGAGAAGAGAAATGACCTTAGGAAATTACATCCTAGCCAATAAGGGAACACCAAAATTTGGCTAATGGGATGAGTTTTATAAGATTTGTATAATTATACCAATGAGGGAACACCAAATTCTGGCCAATGAGACGAGTAAACTTTTACAAAATTTGTATAATAAGGTTGAGTTGATCCTTTATTTGCAGCTTACATAAATTGTGCCCACCGCACCTACCCTCACTGACACGTATGGGGAGGGTGCACTCTATCTCTCTCTCTCTTTCTATTTATTTTTTTTTAAAATTAATTATTTAATTTTTATAATTTTATGGAATTTGTACCCTGTGTTTTTATTTGTAAAAAAAATTATCACTTTTTTATATAAGTAAAATCATCTATTTTAATAAATATTTATTATACTTTTTTAAATTACTCTTAATATTAACGAAAAATAATTAATGCATACTTATATTAATTAATATAGAGAATTTTACTCTCATTTTTTATTTTTAGACATTATTATTATGGTTAATTAATTTTTTAAAATTGTATGATATAATTTTTTTTATATATAAAAATGGAGAGAGTAGTTCAATCATTATACTTTAACCCCGCCATTCCATCCTTATACTTTTCTCAATTATCTCCATCCTTCCCTCTGTTTCAAAAAATATCTAAGTCCTAAAAACTCATCTTATGTGGCACTAGCAGCAATTAACGATGTTAAAAATTGCTGAGTTGGTAGCCAGATCAAGGCCACGTAAGATAAGATGAGTTGAGAGTGAGTATTTAAATTGTCGAAAAAAATTATAAGAAAAGCCTCAAGGTCCTCTAAAACTAGACGAAATAGAAGAATTCAGAGAGAAGATAATTGCGAATCTAGAAAGTGCTGAACGAAAGACAGCATCGAAAGAAGAGGAGGAAGGTTTTTAACAATTGGGAACTGGATAACATAGTACACGGCGATTCTCCAAGAAAGCTCATTCGTGAGAGAGAGAGCTTTTATTTGCAGAGGATAATAATTTAATTTCATGAATTCTAAATGGAGCACACCATATCAAGCCAAATGTCTGCAAGGAATTGGCCAAGATTTAGGACTCATTTAATTTTTTTTATATTTTATGTTTAGAAAGTGAAATTTTATTTTTAAACTATTGAAAGTTGTTTGGATAAAATATATTGTAGGAAAGCATATTCTGAAAATACATATAAATAGTGGTTAAAAATTAAATTTGAAAAACATAACTTAAAAAGTAAATTTAAAAAATAGGATGTTATTTGATCATACTATTTTAAGTTTAATCTCTTATTTTTTTATTTAAAAAATAGTTAATTCATTAAAAATATAATTATTATTTCAATAATAATAATTATTATATATCAATTTTTTAGCATTATAAATTGAATAATTAATCATGTTAATTTTTAGCATCAATGTATAATAAAAATTATAAATTTTTATCATATTTTTTAAAATTATAAATTAAAAAAGCACAAATAACTAGATATCAAGTTTTTAGCATTGCAGATTAAATTTTATGTCATTTAAAATATTTATCATATTTTTTTAAATATTTTAAATATATTATATTTATATAATAAAAATTATAAATTATTATAAATTAATCTCCTTTTTAATAATTGTATATTCAAAAGTACATTTTACCATCATAATTCAATTAATTTTTGGTATACTAAACTGACTTTTAAAAAAATATATTTAAATATAAATTTTATTACAATAACTGAATTTTATTAAATTAATTTTTATCAAATGAATTTTCATCAAATAAATTTTTGATAAATTAAAAACTAAACACACACTTAGTTTTTATTCTCTGTTTAAATTGCAAATTGCATAACAAAAGACAAAATACTCTTCCTCAGAAAAAAAATTTTGCATAAGGAAGCATCTAAGAGCAAAACAAATGAAAAAACATATAAAAGGGTATCTAATTCAAGATCCAACCCTCTTCATGAAACATTCAAATAGCATACTCAACTTATGAAAAACAAATCTGAAACAGAGTTCTATAAAATTCTCCCTAAAAATTTACCTCCTGTGAAATCAAATAGTATGCCCCACTTATAAACAAAACACAAACAGGACAATAAATGTTGCAGTTTGAAAGTGAGATTTCTTTCTGATTTGTGAAGACGTAGCGTTAGTAGAGACTGTCATTTTGCTTTCTGATTTCATTCCTATTCAAAATCGTATTTGTCTATCTCTGGTTTCTCGCCTTCCATGATTTGAAATCCTCTGTCTTGAAGTCATGTTTGGTACATTAAAATTAAATTTAAGAGAAATAAAATTAAAATTGAAATCATGTTTTCACTTGTTTGGTATGCATGAATCCAATTCCTTATGAATTTCAATTTTATCAAAATACCTAGAATTTAATTTCATCTTCATCATGATGGAATTGCCACAATTTCATAAAATTATCATAAGTGCCCCACATACACACTCCATCATGATGGTTGAGTTTTTTATTTTTTTATAAGGACATTTTGGTCTTTATTTATTTTAAATACATATATTTATTAATATTATATTCAGATTCCATCTTCATACCAAACATACATTTATAACTCAATTCTATTCTGATTCCAATTCCGATTCCAATTCCAATTCCGATTCCGATTCCATCAAAAACTCTTCCATCATACCAAACAAGGCCTGACTTTTCTCACCTGTGTCTCCGTTGTCTTTCCCAAGAATTTAATTCGCGTTTGTTTAAATTTTAATTGAGTATAATAAATTATAAAAATAATTAATTAAATAATAAATTTTAATCATAATTAATTATATTATAATGTAACCTGTTTGAATATTATTTTTTAAAATTAATTTTAATAAAATTAAAAAAATTTGAATAATTTAATCATAATTAATTTTAATTATATAAATTTCTATATAATTTAATTCTTAAATATCAAATATTAATTTTTTAAGAATATAAAATTTAAATTTTATTAAAAAAAGTAAAGAGAAGAGAGTTTGATTTTATTTTTATTTAATATTATGTCTTTTCTATAATTTTTTTAGACTTTTTTTATAATTTTTTTCAATATTTTTAATCAATTTTTTGCATAAAACTAATGGAGAGAGCTTACAGAAAAACGCACATTTTACCTCATAATTAATTTTTGATTTTTTAATTATTTGGATAAATTGATTCAGAAAATTAATTTTAAAATAAAAAATTAATTTTTTTTTATCCAAACACACACTTTAATGTTGCACTGATTTGATTACAAACTCACTTACGACAAGTTATAAGAGGCTCAGTTATTTTTTGAAACAAGGGGATGGATGGAGATTACTACAAAAAATATTAAGATTCAATCATGATGAATTAAATTATAAAAATTAAATAATTAATTTTTTTTTATCAAAAACATATTTTTAATATTTTAATTTTATATAAAATTTTAATTTAATCTCATAAATTTATAAAATATATTTTTAATTCTTTAAATTTGACGTCATTATTTTTAAATGATTATTGTTTACATTAAATATTATTATTTTTTTAAAAAATGAATTTAATATATTAATATTTGAAAGTGTTTTGTGAATATTTAAAAATTAATAATTAAATATTTTTTATAAAAATTAAAAAATAAAAATAAAATTTTATATAGAGTTAAAAAATTTAAGACACACTTTGTTGGGGGTGATGCGAGCCGTGAGTGATGGTGCTTTGCCGGTCGACTCAGCGGGAGGTAAATGTAAATCTAATACCACCGCCAGTTGCTTTCTGTGTTTTACCCGTCCCAAACAGAATATCTGTCTTTGCTTCGTCATCTTCAAATCGGGTCCTGGCCAATCTTTCCCAACGATTCAAACAAATTTTCCGACAAAATTTGGATCCTCGGGGAGGTGGGTCGATGAGCTGATTAATTATTTACTCCAGGACGATGAGATCGATCCCTTCCCTCTTCTTGGATTCCCGCGTCTTTCGTTCTACTCACAGTCTTGATGGAACAAAATAGAAATTTATCCCCTGCCGCCGATGCACCCGATCGAGATAATGCCAAAGTGATAGAATGGGAGGACTTCGAGCATCACCTTGCGAGGCTGGTGAGTCTTTCTTCTGCCCTTTATGAAGCGAAGCAGAAGAAGCGATGTCTTCAACAGAAGCTCGACCACCTTATTCAGGTAGAGTTTTGGTGTGTTTCAAGAAATTTGTTCTTTCTCCTACTTCTCATTCAGGTCTCCGTGTTGATGGGTAAATTGAGAGAACTTTTGAGTACAAGAAACTAAGTAGCGCTGCCGAGGAGTAAATGAGATGAGGCATAGGGTTTCTTCATTTTGGTTTTAGCTGTGAAATAGAGTTATGATACAATATTTTATGGACAATGCATTGACCATGGGAAATTCGTGCGGATTAATTCGCAAATTGTACATGGTTGAGTTAAAATTGACTTAATTTATCACAAAATTAGAAGAATACTGCTCGCTCGCTTCTTCTTCTTCTTCTTTTTAAACTATGCTTCCCTGGGATTTTAATGGTTGTGCCTGAGTTTGTTTTTACGAGGCTAGGGGTGCTTTATAAATTATACCGTGGGCGTGGGCTGAGGCGAAGGATTTTTCATGTAAATTTATTAAATCTTTTATGATAGGACAATCCCTTTAAACAAAAAGATTAATGAAAGACGAGGAATACAAAATGTTAAAAATGTTCCTAAGCGCAGAAATAGAGGCGAGCCTTCATATTGCATGAACTGTTTCATATATCAATGTTCATTTAATCATACCGTGACTTATCTACCAAAGTGCGGGGTTTGGCAACACTGTTTGTCGTTGCTTGTTTCATCTGTTTGTTTAAAGCTTGAGGGAAAAATGTATGATTATGCTTTGCTGTTTCTTTTAGCTTTCTATCTCTGTTTGCTCGGGCATGCATGTGTATGTAACAGTTAGACAAAGATAGAAGGAAAAGTTACATGTCTTTCCAACTTTATCTAGGTCAGTTACAAATTTTGCGCACAAGGTTTGATATTTTTAATCTGGTCGATGGTGATGTTGAGTAATCTTGAATTTTGTCATCTACATCTTGCATCACGTACCTGTTTTCCTGTTTTCTTTTTCATTCCGTCCTTTTCTATTGGGTCCTATTTATGAGTTTCTGTTGAGACAACGTTCAGGATTGTTTTATTTCAATTGTTATTTTATTCTAAATAAATGTGGCCTTAATCAATGAGCCCGCATATTAGCGGGCGGTAATTTCATGAGCAGGTCAAGGGTGAGTCATTGAGTAGGTCATATGAACTTGAGGAGATGCGTCAGAAACTTGAATCAAGGAAAGCAATGGTGGAGAATGTGTCAATGCATTCCAGGATTGCAAAGGAGGATGCCACCAAGAAGAAAGAGCAGCTTGGTGTTGAAGTTGAATCATTATTGGTGGCAGGAACATCTCTTTCTGTATCTAGAAGAAGGCTTCAGGTGATCTTACATTTATTCTAATACCTAGTAGGTTTTTAATTCAAAAATTGTCTCACAATTTCTTTCTATGATTAAAGAGTGTCACCTTTTTCTGTGTACATTTGTGGTTGTTATTTAAAAGCTGATTATGCTGTCAATGTAGGAATCAAATAGGATACTGTTTGAAGAAAAAGGTTATGTTCAACTGAGAAATTTGCAAAAGATGTTAAGACTGAGGCAACAATATATGGCATTTCAAATATCAATGCTATATCCTGTGAAGTTCTCGGTTGGACCTGCGCAAGAGCAAGAACTTGAAGCATATCCTGCTGGCAGCCTAGCGGGTAAGAGTTAATTGAATAAATCTTCTTATTCTATTTATGCAAACAATACATGTGCCAAGTTATCATTATGTTGAAAATAATTGGATGTCAAGTCATCATGTCTAGTTAGATGATAAATATTTTGAAAATAATTTTAATATTGTCATTATTTGTGTACCCAGGTAATTCTGCTGAACTTAAACCTGTTAATCAAGGATCCTTAACAATTCTGGGTCTGCATTTGACTATGTTGTCTTTTAAGAAGATGAGCTTTTTTACTGATAAAAAGGAAATTCAAAAGTCTGCAACTGCCCTAGGATATGTTGCGCACGTAAGTTCTGATGCCTCAAAATAATCTTTTAATGCTTCCTTTTCTATCATGTGACTATTAATAATCCACACCTGCACGATGTGATATTATTTTCTGATATTTTATGTATACATATGCCAAAGTCAATTGATTGTCATTTCCTTTTCTCGTTATGGTTATGGTATTAAATTTTTGTGTCTATAAATACGGCATTATTTTAGGTTTAATATGAAATTTGAACCTAGATGTATAGATCTAGAGGTGATTTGAACCCTATACTTGTAATAGGTATATTTTAAACCTTGAACAGTTAAAGTTGGTGCATCTTTGCCCCCATCGTTAATCTGAAACTAATGGCTGTTAGCTTCTAAATATAATGGCGCCCACATTCTAACCTTCTCTATTTGCGTCCCTGGCTCTCTCCTCCCTCTCTCTCACCTCTCTTCACTATTGACCTCCATCTCCATTATCAACTATAGCCAAATATGGGCAAGCATGGTGAAGGCCATGGCTATGTTGCCGACATTGCTCAACTTGTGCAATGAAGGCAAACCTTTCAAAAAGAGAGAACATAGAAGGAAATATGGGGCGAGTACATACATTCATCATGGGGAAGCAACAAATTCAAGTGTTGAATGTGTTAGACGTGGTAAAAACACAAAGGTACCATTTCACTACAATCATCATAGCTGAAATGGGCTTTTTCACAGATTCGTCCAACCTCTTTGCAATTTTCCTCATCACCAAACTGTACAGTCATATTAACCACTAGGAGCCGAATTCTCTCAAACTTGGGACACTACCTCCCAACGTGTAGGCTGCAGTTAATGATGTGGCCTTCTGCGACACTCTTTGGGCAACTCTTCTTTGGTTGGCTGGGTGACAAGCTCAGCTGAAAAACTATATGTGGAATGACTTTGTTGATGATGATCGTCTGTGGCCTTGGCTCTAGCCTTTCCTTCAGAGACGCTCCTAAATCTGTCATCACAACTCTCTGCTTCCACTTCTGGCTTGGCTTTGGCATTGGCGGAGACTACCCACTTTTTGCCACCATCATGTTTGAATACTCTAACAAGAAGACTCGTGGTGCTTTCATTGCAATCATTTTTGCAATGCAGGGTTTGGGGATTTTGACCAGTGGCTTGTTTGCAATCAGCTGCATTTAAGTTGATGTTTGATGCTCCTCCTTACCAGATTGATCCAGCTGGTCAACATTTCTTGAAGTAGACTTTGTTTGGCGGATAATTCTAATGGCAGGATCGGTGCTGGCTGTATTGACTTATTATTGGAGGATGAAGATGCCAGAGACTGCTCATTACATTGCACTTGTTGCCCAGAACGTAGAGAGAGCAATGGCTGATATGTCGAACGTTTTGCAGGTGGAGATTCAAGCTGATCATGAGAAGGTTGAGCTCAAACTCCTCATCACCGATGTCGGACACAGCCATGGCTGTTGCAGCTGTCAATGATGTTGCCACTTGGATTCACCTTCATGGGAGAAGGGCATGTCGGAGGAGTGGGAGGAGAGAGATGCTGTGAGAGGGGGAGAGAGGAGGGAGATGTTAGATGCCTAATGGGCCCCACTGCTCAAGTTAATGGATGTTCAGTCTAAATTATCGTTGGGGGCCAAATTACTACCAATGTAATTGTTTAGGGGTTAAAATGCACCAAATATGAGTTTATGGTTCAAATCGTCCTAAGCCAATAGTTTTGGGTCCAAATCTCCATTTAACTTTTTTTTTTCTTTTTTTAATTTTGCATGGCTCTTGACCTATTAACTGTTGAGATATACTTTATCAGGCTAATTTTTTGGCAGGCTGTATCACTTATAGCGTCTTACTTGCAAGTTCCTTTGCGATATCCTGTACGATTGGGTGGTTCTCGTTCATATATTATTGACAATGCACCTTCAAAGGATCTAGCATTTTCAGATTCTTCATCAAGTACAATGCCTATTACAAACAGTAAGCACATGTCATTCCCTCTTTTTTTAGAGGGTCAAGACACAACAAGAGCAGCTTATGCTGTATTCTTGTTAAACAAGGTATATCTTTTTCAAAATGTTATTTTTTTCACTTTTATTAAAAGGGGAAAAAGACAGAAAAATTTGCTTTAGTATTCAAGTTATTATGCAAACTGTTATCTTGAGGGTAAATGTTTTAACATCGAAGGCATGGCCTTCCTCTAGTTTGTTGTTTTGCTTTATAAATCATTGACTGAACACTAGCTATTCACTGATATTTTCTGCTCCATTTTCCCATTTTTGTTCAATATATGTTTTTGTTTGTGTATTTTTTTTTTTAAAATGTGTGTATTATATGGTATTTTGTTTTTATTCAATCCCTTTTGCGAAAAGAGCTCTGAAACACATTTTATATGCACATGAAGTTCGTTCCAGGCTTCCAGCATTCATTTGCTGGGTTGATTAAAAAAAAGGTCTTGTTCATATTTTTTAACTTCCGAGTGAAGATATAGATGTTAGACGTTCCCTTACGTTGCGTTGTTGGCTGCCAGGAGAAATTATACTTTGAAGAATTTCCCTAACCCCAGTTTCACTTGGAAGACCGAGAGTTTCTTCCCTGGATTTTTCATGTATGAGTGGAAATAATGATTTATACTTTCAGGACTGATGGTCTTGCATCTTGATTAGTTATTGTTTGATAACCTTTTAGCTCAGGCTTTTTTGTGTTTATGATACATCAGATATTATGCAGGACTGTCTTAACACTAACAGTGGGCCCTTCTCGCTAGTTTAGTTGTTTTTTCAAGTATGAGTTGTGTGCGTGATCACTACTGTTACTGTTCGTAACTATCTATTCCAGCTAAACTTGACTTCTTGCCCCTTCCTCGCTTTTTCTGATTTTAGGATTTAGAGCAGCTCTTGAATTCCATTGGTGCTAGGAGTTTGGGACCAAGTCATGTTTTGGCTAATTTGAGGGAGCTTTTAAGGATCATTCAGTCTTCAACATTTATAGACAGCATGATCTAGTGTTTTTGTTTCAACCGCCGACAACGCTGTAAATTAATTTTCCATATTCTTACCCTGGTGCAATTTTCTAGGTGCACCTTCACATGTAGCATTGTTAGATATGAAAATTGAAACAAACCACGTGTAATTGATTCGGTATTCTTTCGAAAGGATTCAAACAAAATTTTTGTGAAGGACATAAAGCTAGATTCATTCCTGCTGGGATGAGATTGCACTTTGTTTAGACACTTTTTTTCTCGTCTTAAATGAGAGAGTTGTACTATTCATAAACGTTTTCTTCCAAATTCTTTGTACATTTTATTCTTTTGATATTTTTCACACATTATCAGGCTTCATGTAATTTTATTTTTTAAATCATTTAATATTTTTTTCACAGAGGTTAAAAATTAAAATAGACTCAATTTTCTTGAAAAAAATAAATTATTATTTTTTCATTTATATATAAAAATTGCATGGGAAAATATCTATAGTTTGAATATGAAAAAGAAGTGACTAAAAGGGGAAGAAAGGATGCACGTGCCAATACCTCCATCTCCTTATATCCATAATCACTGCACATTGGCGTTCATCTTCACTCACCAAAAGTTCGCAAATCAATGATCATGTTGGCTGTCCAACTTTGAATATAGTAATTGGATTTTTGGTCTGATTATCGCAGTAAAGACTTGAATGATCTATTATGGCAAAAGCAGGGCGGGTGCCTCCAATTGTCATTTCAGTCAATACTTTCACATTTTAAACAGGTTAGAATTGCAGGTATCTATCTCTTCTGCGGAATACCCATTGAGCTGATAAGGTGATGTCAAACAGGAAGGGAAAAGGGGGCGCGAGAGAAGAGAAAGGGGGAAGTGAGAGAAAGATAGGAAAAGGCCCAAATTTTCAGCAACTCTTATTTAATAATATTAAAAATTGAACATAAATAAAAAATATAATTTTATTTATAAAACTCTAAAAATAATAAAATAATAATAATTTAAATTTAAATCTAATATTTATGATAACAATAAAGAAAATGAAAAATCTTGACTTTAACGGATAAATATCCTTTTTTAAATATTCTTAATAGATAATCTTAATATTTCAGATAAAGTTTAATTATCCTAATTAATTATTATTTCATATTTCATAATAAGGACTCGACTATATCTTATAAAAAGGGATGTTCGAGTCTTGTTGGTGGTGTAAAAACTTTATCAATGGGTAGGTAATTACAAGACTGCAAGTATATTTGTAAGGGCCATTCGATTGGTGGATCTCACATTGACGCGTGTAAGCTCTCAAATTGGCAGGCAGGAAAGAGATGCGTTCTCAAGAGATATTGCATTTTCACACACTCACAAAAACATTGAGATATTTGGGAGCTCTTAATGAAGGGGAGGCCACGCTTTGATTTTATTCATGTGGAGGTCTGGCTGGCCTGTGCCAAGCATTAGTCAATCAATTAATATAATTATGGGGCGTTGAAAAAGAAACAAATATAATTGCAAGCAGGCATCACAGTTAATTACACGTAACTCTACTTTCCCTTTTCACTCGTAGGGTTTCCCCAATGGAAGTGGGTCGTTGCAAGGGGCCCTCCAAAGATGTGCTCTGCCAGGGTGTCCTCATTCAAAGGGTTCTCCATGCGATGGCTAATGCCCTGTTTGGTGGCAAGGAATTAAGGGGAGGGAAGTGGAAGTAGATGTGGAACTCAATTTTGTGTGTTTGGTATGAATGAAGAGACTTCTTGAAAAATTGGGTTCCATCAAATTCGAAGGAACTGAGTTCCACCGCCATACCTAAGGAGCCCGGTTCCTCTTCTTTGGATCTGCACTTTCTGACCATTTTGTCCCGAGACCCTCCCTCACTGAACAATCGAAGAATGACGGTGCAGATGTTGGTGGCCCGCGTTCGACAGCATGCTCTAGACCTTCGATGGTGATAGTACCCGTCGATGACCAATCTTCTGACGTCAACATCAATCTTCCAATCTTCCATTAAAGTCTACTCCCATTTTTACTTTTATTTCCACTAAAATCATTTCTTTATACAAAACCAGCCATAAGTGATTGACGGGCCTCTTTTCTTGGATATTTTCAGGCGCGAGCGAGTGGCAAGCTTGGTTTGATGTGTGTGTGGGTCTGGGTGCGTGAATGGTGGATATCGACCTGTGAGGGTGAAAACTTAAGGTGTGTTTAATTGGAAGAGAGGGAAGAGGAGGGGAGCTGAGGGTGAAAACTTAAAATGTGTTTGATCGGAGAAGAGGGGAGTGAAGGGGAAGGGCTCCTCCCCTCTAAATTGAGGGGAGTTCCCCTCCTCTCCTCTTCCTCTCCCTTCCCTCCTCTCTCCTCACCTTTCCTTTTCTCTCCTCTCCTTCCTCTGAATCAAACATACCCTTAAGATGTGTTTAGTTGAAGAGAAGGGCGCCCCTCTCCTCCTCTCCTTTGATTAGGAGGATAGAAGGAAAAATTTGTCCCCTCCAAATTAGGGGTAGCTCCCCTCTCCCTCCCTTCCCTCACCTCCCTTCTCCTCTTTTTAAATCAAATAAATCCTTAAGGGCATTGAGGAATTTTATATCGAAGGCAGTGGGTGATTATCAAAGTTGGCATCAATTGTTTGCTAGGGTTAATTTGTGTTTGAATAAAGTTCAGTGGTGCCTAATTTGCAAGAGAATGGCAAATAATTTTTATATTGATGGATACAAATGTGTTACACTGTATATATTTTATCAAAGGGTGCATATAAGTATCTATACATTTAATTTTAAGTAATAAAATGACATTTATCAATGTATATTTATATTTATATTTTAGAGAAATTGTGTTAATTAAGGAGAGATCTATAGGAGCAATCTATGTCCTCCTAATTCGGGGTTAGATCACCACATTCTCACAAATTAGGGCAGAAATATGAAGTCTAATTGGATGCACTTTAGATCACCATCTTATATATCATCTATTGTACATCATATCATCTTAACTCAGATTATAAAATGACATCTTTTCCCTTTGAACACATCCAAATCCAATAAGTATTCAGAAGAAACAGAATGGAGAGATAAAAATGGTCGGACACCATGCTCAGTGATCCACCTTTTCTGCTACTCAATCCCGGCAATAGCGTCGTTAAGTTTTTTTTTTAATTAAGAAAATGACAATTATCAATATATGCATGTAAAAACCGGATAGCATATACATCTATGATTGAAGTTCTAGAATAGCATGCATAAAATCTTCAATAATTTATAGCAGCCATATTCTTATGGTATCAAAGCACTCGGTGTCCAAAGTCACATTGAAGTCCGATTTATTTGAATTCGAGTCGAATCAGGCTCGAATGGAAAATTAAAGGACTATCACTCTTTCTACTAAAACTAACTGTGGCTGGTCAAATATAATAGTTGTATTCTAATAATGGTTTATTTTGTATTCATTGATAAAGCCTACGCGATGCTGAGTTTAGAATATCAAGAACACTACTAAGCACTTTAAATCCCATAACCCCAATGCCTCCTACAAGTTTGTGAGACGGGGTATCTTGGACCTCATTTCTAACAAACCTCAAGCGACAACAATAACTTCTAAAATCTGATGAATCTGTTATCACATTACCTCCTCCAATTATTCAATCATTACCCACCTCAAACATTTCATTCTCTCATTCACACCACCAGTTACTAATTCAGCTTCACTATTTCCCAACTACTAACCAATTCCCAAGTCCTAACTGACTTCTGCGAGACAATCCTTCCATCTCAATGATGGATAGCAGTGGGTAAAGTGGAAATTTCAGGAATTTTTTTTTTTGTTGTATTTGACTTTCAGCTTTTTTCTGGGTGACTTCGGAGACTTCAACTTCATGTTCTTGTACCTAGTTCGTGCTTAGCTTCACAGATATGTACCTTCAAGCACCTCACAACAAGAATTTGGAGAAACAGCACGGGACGTCTTCTTTTGCTGAACATACCAATTCGTTTTATTTACCCATAAAACAGTGTTGGAGGTAGAAAGATTGACTATGTTCCGAGTTCGCATGTGGCTTGTGGCTTACGCATTTTTTCAATGGACTTTTGGATTTAAATCTTGAGTTATATCTGCATTGAAAGCTAGTTTCTTTGCATATAAAATTAACCGATGAGCAACAGAGTTAAATAACAAGATAAAACCATCTTAAGTTCCTCTGTACATAGAAAATAATTGTTTTCTGAGTTGCTCCTTTGCAACGGATGGCCCAAATCTCTCTCAAAATTCGTTTACTCTGTTTCACAAGAGAATACTAATGACAAGTTTGAATGCCATGGCCAACAATCTAATCAGTTGCCCCTCAGAGTCTGAACAATCGTGTTGTGCCATGGGTCTGATAGATGCTGCAACAGGTTGTCAAATGGTCCTTGCCCAGTCACATTGTGTTGAACCACAAACCCCAAAAATGCCAACATCGCCAATCTCCCTGCACACACACTCACGAAAATCCAAACACAGTTAGCTTTCTATGCCTAACACAAATGTTATCATATCATTCATGTATGCTCAGATGGAACTCACCATTAGCAAGTTCCTTCTCTTTGGCCTCAAGTGTGGGAGCAAAGTTGAGGGGATTGAAGATGCCACCTGGGTATCCAACTTCATTGGGGGGTAAGCTGTATTGCTTGAAGATGGGATCTTGGTTGACACTTCCAGGGTTCTTAATGTCTTGCCATCTTCTGATCTCCACGTAATGGAACAAGATGAACTCAATCACGAACAAGGTGGATGATGATGCAAAGTACTCCTCTTTCCCAGCATCGTACCACTTAGGAACGTTGAGGATCCCAATCTTTGTGAACACCTCTGGAAGAAGCATCCCTGCAACACCCAACATGGCCCACCTTCCGTTCACCAGCTCAGCTTGAACGAACCACCTCAAGTTCTCTGGGTCCTCTGCTAGCCCCAAAGGGTCAAATCCATTGTCACCAGGAAGACTATTATAACAACACATCAAAACACAAACATGTTTTAGTCACTGTTGATGGTGATGCATTTAAGGGACTGTTCGTGTATAATAAGCACGTACCTTCCATTGAGGTAAGCTGGTGAGGCCAAACCAGGAAGCCACTCTCCCTTCTTGGCTTGAACCTTGAAAGAGGAGGAAGAGGCAGAGGAAGGAGGCGCCACGGTTCTGAAACCAACTTGCCTGTGTAGTTTACCGGAGGACCCGGTGAGAAATCCGGATCTGGAGGAGCATGACGGCCGGAAGATGGCAGCGGAAGCCTGGGTGGTGACGGTGGCCATGGGTTATTTCCGGCGAAGGCAGATAAAGAGAGGAGTGGGTAGATGAAAATGTCGGGATGGTGGGAGCGGCTTTGTATTTCATTTGACAAGCATTCTTGTGGTCGTTGTGCGTCATGGGTGGTGGACGGTTGATATTGGCAATATTTGGGATCGGACGGTGGAGAATGCGCTGTGGCTTATCCTTTTATCTGGGAGTCCTATCCGCAAATCTATATCTTCCTTGTCGTTGGCTCAAGCTGAATACTGTGGGACCACTGGTGCCACGTCGGAGGATTTTTAGAGGAAATCTGATGGTTGATGGTGAGATTGTCATCCAATCATTGGTGAAAACGTGGCTGGGTCAGCAGAGTTTTTTGGATAACTGTGCCAAATTGGCCATTATTCTATTTTTCTTTGGAAGGACAGCTTGGGAATGAGGGTACATTCACAAATTTAGGACCTGTTTAGTTTTTGTTATTATTTTTTATTTTTAGAATTTTTTTATAATACGTTTTTAAAAATGATTTTTAAAAAAATAAAATAAAAATTTATTTGATTATGTTAATTAAAAAATATTTTTAAAATTTAAAAAATAGACTGATAGTGATAATTATAGACAGTTAATAATGATGATTAATAATATAAATTAGTCAAGGTAAGTATAATTTTTAATAATAAAATATAATATATTTTAAAAATAAAAAAAATAAAGTAAAAATAATTTAAAGTTATTTATATTTCTTTGTTGTTAAAAAATAAAAAATAAAAATAATTTTAAAAATAATTGAATGAAAAATATTTATCCAAACAAAATTTTAAATTTTTCTGTTTTTAAAAATAAAAATAATTTTAAAAATAGAAAAAACCTGCCCGTAAAAAACTTAAACTTCTGTAGCCTAAGACGCAGAATAATAATAATAAAAAAAAAAGACAGAACACGAAAGCTAGAATGTAAAAAATGAAAAATAAAATGCAGATTTATTTATTTTTTCTTTTTTTATAATTCAGAAAAAACTTGGTTAGAAATCTGCATTTTTTTTTCGTACTCAGCACTTTTTTTCTTCATATTTTTTTTGTTATAGAATTCTTGATCCATTTTTTCAAATATCTTTTCATTGATCCTTAATCTCAATCCCCACCTCCAATGAATCCATCCTCAACAAAATTGTATATTGAAGCCATTAAAATTTAATGTGGCAACCATGTGGAGTTTGAGTAATTAACAAAATGTCAAGCCCAAACGTTAATTTACAAAATTTGCTAAAATATGTACTCCCCTGGGTTTCTAGTCCTAAATATAAGTGACTTCCTAGAAAAAATTTGTGGTCGTAAATAGTAAAATAAGTCATTTTGCATGAATTATTGGACTATTTAATATATATTTTTTTAAAAATAGCCGTCAATGAAGACTAAAGAGGAGAGAATGAGTATTTGACTTTTAAATTAATAATATTAATGAGGATAGAAAACTTATTCAATTTTAAGATCAATTTAATAAAGTGACTAACTTTCATTAGTTTTGGTGGAAAAAATTAAAAGTAGCTTAAACTATACTTCCTCAAATATTTATTACGAGATATCTCTAATCATTTAATTAAAAAAATAGTTAAATCCTTAAATTTTTTTGAATACAGAAGTAATTTCTAAATTTATCCACATCTAAAAGCATTTGCATTCCAAGGAGTCCAATTGAAAAATTGCAATTGCATCAAACTTTACACTGTGACAATATTAAAAAAATGTAATAAATAATTCACTTAATTATTATAATAAGGACTCTCCATTTTTTTTTTTAAATGTATCTTGTAATAAAGACATTGCTGCGTTTGTTTCAAGGGAGGCAGATGCATATGGGTGTTTGTTTAACATCTTGTCCTCCCCTTTTTTTTTGAAAAAAAAAAAAAAAAAACTTTGCACCCCTATGGTTCTCTAGAGAGGATTTACTAGTTTTAAGATTTGATTGAGAGAGAAAAAAAAAATCAATCTTTGAAGAAGATGAGAGCTTAAGTCAATTATTTGGGAGAGAATTGTGAAAAACCAAGCCACAGGAGAGGTGGGACTCAATTTTTAATACAGAGATTGAAGAAGAGAGAGAGTGAAAGTACATGGGTGAGACTAGGAGTGTTCAGTTTATACTTGTCTCAATTGGCTCAGTATCGTTCAAACTCAAAAACAATTGAGATAGGATAAGAAAGGGATGGGACACGGGATTACCATCAAGACGTCCCGTCTCGTCCCGAATATTATATATATATTATTTTTTATTTTAAAAATATACATTAAATATATTAATTATATCAATTATAATTTTAATACTTGCAATTTTTATATAAAACTAAAATTTTTTGTATTAATGATTTTAATCACATAGAGTAAATATGGCTATATCTTTCTTTATAATATATTAATTATATTAATATAATTTATTCTTATATCTATTTATTTAATAACTTTTATTTATATTGTATTTCTTATTTTATTTTTGAATGAGTAATTAGTTTAGCACATCGCAACTAAAGTAAAAAAAATAATGATTTGATGTTGTGCTTGGCTTGCCCATTGTTGCTGCTCTTATAACCTAGAGATTACTTGTAATTGCTATTATAATATGCAGTTGTGATTAATGTAATTCAATAATTAACTTTAAATTGTTGTGATTTATGCACTTGTGTTGTTTTAATTGTAGACTTAATAAATTATAAGATTTAAAATTTTAATAAATATTATTATCTATATATTTTTCTAACATTGTTCAATTTATCGAGATGGTGAGATGTCCTAATCTCGTCCCGATCTTATCTCAATTCTTAACGAAACGGGACATTAGACTAAAATTTAGTCTCGATCTTTTTTTTCGAGACAAGAATGTCTCAATCCCGTCCCGTCTCATAACACCCCTAAGTGAGACATGTGCAAGTGGGACACAATTTTTTTTCTTCGTTTTTTTAAACATTTTAAATGTGATATTTGTAAAAAACATTGAGAAAAAAACATTTCTTATGTTATTTTTAAACTCAAGAGTTGTAAGATATATAAAATTACCATTGACCACATTTTGCACGAGAAGGCCAATGACGTTGTGTGTGGTGACACTGTTAACCCGCACGGACGATGACATACCCTAATCCAACATTCCAGTAAGTGAGAATGAGCGCTAATGCTATCTGCAATACTCGTGATTTTCATGAACCTTGCCATTCAATCTCCCTCAAATTGGGGCAGAAGACACAAGGTAGGACAACCCCATATCTGCAATAATCATATCAGAAGAATTGATCAAACTTGAACTCCATTGCAATCACTTGTCCGCCCCAAGTCCTCCTGTTCATGATAAAGCAATCCCTCTGAAGTGTTGACTTTTCTCAGACTTCCTTTTTGGTGGGGATCGAGGGGGTAAGCAGCAAACTTTTAATGACTTTAAAGCATTAAAGCATGTCTATGATTATGTTAAAGGAATGAAAGGATCAATTACATATAGGATACTTGATTTAACCAAAGCTACACAAGTACACTACCTCCAGCATGCATTAAGTCATGCCACAATTACTTATAGCTGGTAGTTCAACTCGATCAGGATATTATTATCAATTCCCCGACCTCAAGTAATTCTATATTTAGAAGGATAAAACACAATGAACAGAAACTGATTGGCGTAAACCAATAACACAAGTATGGAGGGGAGAGTTGCGAGCACTGCCATCACTATGGATCTAAATGAAACAGTAAAGCAATGTATAAGCCCTATAGAAAGGACCAGGCAGGAGGACAATATGGCTGTTAGAGGCTTTGTCGATCCGAGGCCAGTGGGTTGTGGCAGTGGCTTTCATGGAAACTGCTTTCACATCCGCCGCTCCCCGAACGTCGGTGATCAGTGCTGCTATTTCCGTTCCAGACACTTCACTGGATAAGTTTCCATGCCCACAAACTATTCAGTCATTTATGTATGACTTGAGCGAGAAACATTGAGCACTATACATTCTAATAACTAATGAATCGGTCCAGCATTCATTACATGACGTCTTTGATATATTCCTAAATGAAAACAAGAAAAGCAACCAGAAAGGAGTTATTTTGAGGAAATATATATTTTATATTGTAAACACCTGACGACTGACGTGTATTATTGTGCTACGTGGAGGGTTTGAGACGGAAAGAAGCAGCCTACTTGAAGGCATTGCCTTCTGCTATGTGTTGGCCCTTTACTTGTTGCCTCTCGGCTGTCGGAATGAAAAGATCAAAAACATAAATCATGGAGATGCGGGGTATCGATCCCCGTACCTCTCGCATGCTAAGCGAGCGCTCTACCATCTGAGCTACATCCCCTTGTTGGACTCAAAGCCTGATTATCTTTAAATATTCTATCTTGGAAAATGAACAGTAAAATCCAACTTTGAACATTTTATAATTTTTTTAATAAGCTTAAAAAAATAGATCATAAACTAAAATACTCATCAACTGGTTGTGGAAAAAATTTGTACGGGTAGACTTGAACTTCGCATTGGTAAGCAGGCTCATATGAAAATAGTCCTGGATTCGCTGAAGAGAAGGGGCTTAATGGTTGGGCTTATAATACTATATGAATCCATAATTCAATATTCAATTTTTTTGGGGCGCTCTGGCTCTGTAAAATGGGTGCTCCCTGGCGGCAGAAACCCTAATACCCATGGCTGAACTATGGGGTTTAAGTCGCGTACGATCCTCCCATTCTAGCATTGGCTTAATCTGCGTTTCCGGTTTATCTTATTTTCTTTGGTGTGATTGGATTTCTTTTCTTCCTTTGACGTCTTTCTGTGCCCATGATGGCTATATAAATTTACTCCGAGAGAGTTGATTTCTATGATATAAAACACTATCTAAGGCACAGAGAGGAACGACCTCTTCAAATATTCTCTTATTCTGTTTCATTTGCAATTGGTTTTTATGATGTTAGACGCTTGAATGAATCGACACACCAGTGGTGTAAATGCATGTATATTTACAAATAAATGCGTGCGCGAAAGGGCTTCTGATGTGCAAATGATGACAAAATAGACAGGGACATCAGCACCCTCAGGAGATTGATGACTTCATCTATTCGGAATCTCTCTGATGCACTGACATTGAATCTTTTCGTACTCGCGTTTTTGTCTTCAAATGTCGAGTTGCGTCAAGTGTTTGTTATGACTGGTGCATTTCATTTTGGAATTGATTGCTTAATTGTTTGTTCTTCGCTTTCTTCACCTGTCACTGGTGCAAATAGAGTCTTGAAGAAAGTTTAGCTGTGTGTAACTTTGATGATGAATTGATGTTATTGCCTGCGCATGAATTTCCGGTATGATGGTTTCCAGTAGCAGAATCTGTTTCCTCTAAATTACAAGCCACAAGGCTTTAAAATCCTCTTTTTCTCTCTATTTAAGTTGACTTCTGTGATGTACTCGTTTAGTGGAATTATTAATTAGTAGAGTATATATGTTAGTGATGAAAATCTCATGATCATGATATGTTTATGATGATATTGACTAATCTCTATCGGGTTACCGCCCCCTCGTAATCTGGCTGGCTATGGTATGCGCATCTCTTTAAGTATGACATATTGATATTTACTTATTTGTGGAATTAATTTCCCCTCTCACCCTAAAGATGAGTACTTTGAAATGAGATTTAAATTATTTAGATTTTGATTCAAATTTAAAGTATTATTATATTATTATTATATATTATATTTATTTAAATAAAATTTTATAAAAATTATAAAATAATTTTAATAAATTTTTTATTTTTTAATTTGGTGTAAATTTAATTTAAAAAGTCTAATTTAATATTAAAATTTTTTATAATTGATATGCATTTATTATCCAAATATACTCTACACAGTTTAAAATTGTACATAATACATCTGAATAATTAAAATACGTCAATTATAAAAATTTTAATATTAAATTGAACCGTCTAAATTAAATCTAAATTATATTAAAAATAAAAAATTGTTAAAATTATTTTATAATTTTTATATTTTTTAATGTAATAAATATAAAATATAATAATTCTTTATTTAGATTTAATCAGAATAGTCTAGATCTCATTTTAAAAATGGTGCTCATCTTTAAGATGTGCATGGAAACTAAACCCTTATTTGTTTGGTATGTGATAATCTCCAGGAGCAGGCAGATTTGCAAGTAATGTTGGATTTCTGTGGTTACGATTTATAAAATTTTATCAAAGCATTCAAGTTTCCAAGGGTTTGAGGTAAATAAAATAAAAATTAGTTTCCCGGGAGTCAGGGACAAAAAAAGCCATGCTTGGGAAAATCATGCTTTTTCTTGTAATTGGCTTTTCGGTTAGCTTGAATAGGGGTTAAAAAAAACAAAAAAAAAAACATTTGACTGAGCTTGTTGGTGTTTGGGCTTGGCTTACTCAAATACCCGAATGTCTTTTCTTTTGAGGATGATGAGACTTAGCAGAGAAAGAGTTGAGAGGAGCAAAACAAATTTATTAACGTGGTTATCTACACATCATCAATAGATTTAACTCAAGAATGAAATTTAAAAGGACTAAGAACAACAGCAAAAAAAAGTATCAAAGTTAAAAATATAGAGACTGATAGCTGTATATTACAAAAAAGAAATAAAGATAAAAAATAGTGGAATCTAACTGTGCTGATGTTAGAAAAATAAAAATTCATTGGACTGGTGATTAATGAGCTGAATTTTAATTCAACTCAAAACTCTAGCAGTAAACTGTGTATATCTCACATTTAAGACACTGATTTATTGACAGAAATATAAATCTTGTTTTAGCGGTATAGTAGGTGATCCGAATCTCTAACTGTAAGCTTAATTTCGTTTTCAATAATATTAACATTCACCTTAGCTTCATGAAGGCAAATAATACTGGTTCATTTGAGATAATATCACGGATTTACGGAGCAAAAATTGGCGCTAATTTGACCATGAAACTTTACACCAAATCTCATAGTCAAGTGGAAGAAAAAAACTACTGAAGTTAAATGAAATCGGATGCAATTTTTAACAATAAATTTATGGTCAATGAAAAAAAAAAGTGAAGACAAAATTATTAACCAAAGTGGCTATTTTTTTTCATAACTAAAAGTTTTGGCAACTCATAGCACCGTCTTATTTATATTATGCATCTTGTAAATATGGATGCTTCTCGTAACTTCTATAAATATATTAGTGTTGATATTGATGTGAATGTTAATCTGCATTTGATTACACTTCTTTGGGTCCTAAAGCATGAGCTAGTTAAGGAGCTTATTTTAGACATATTAATAAAACCTCAAACTTCTTTGCCTATCTTCTTAATTAATTTTCGTTAAATTGCCTCTATTTTTCGCTCAGTTTTTTCACTAAGAAGAGTATTTTGGGAAAAGCATCACGCATGTTCATATATGAAATGTAAATAGCTAATTTAACTTTTTTTTTCTTTTTTTTTTTTAGCAAAACTTTTTTTTTCTTAATCTACAAAAAACTAGGTAACAAACTATTATAATTAGGACAAAGGTAATATTGACATTTTGAGGGACGGAATCCATCCCTACCACACAATAAAAATTGTGAATGAAGAGAACATAGCTAGAGATAGGAAGCAATTCCATTTTGCATGAGCAATTTTGTTAGTAAAAGGGAAACAAAGACTAAACAACAGTACTAATATCTTGTACTAAAATTACACTTAAACCTAGGGAAAGGGAGAATAAAGGATAAAAACTAGTAACACAAGCGCCATTTTGGCAAGCATATCAATAGCTTCATTGGCATCTCCCTTTTAATGTTCAAGTAACTCCATTCCATTTTGAATCCAAATTTATAGTTGAAATCACACCAAAAACACTAATTGATCTCCTCTGACTACATACCACATACTTCTCACTTATTTATACTTAATTATTTAATTATCAGGAGTTTAATTTGTGGGGTGTTACATAATTGTTTTATTGGGCCCATTGAAAGCCTGGTATCATCCTTATTCATATTCTCCTTCCCTCGCAAAGAATCATGTTCAGCGATTTCTTTTTGTCTCACTCGAGCCCATGCCTTTTGGTTATTAATTTCTTTCCAAAAGCATCGATCTCCTAGTTGACCTCTATGAATCCGCTATTTACTCCCAGATTTGCGGAATGCAGGCTCAGATTTACTGGTTCCTCCATCGCTCTTCTCTTTCGCTTACCCAGGTAAGTAGCACACTTTATCAGGTGAAATCCTCTCATCATCTTTAATTAATTCTTTGCCAATTCTTTGTTTCCCTTCTAAAGCTTTCTCATTTGAGCGCTTACTTTCTTTCTGATCACGATTAATTATTCCTCTAGATTTTCCTTTCTCAGGGACGTGCGAGCAATTCACTTAACTACCATGATTCAAGAATGACTCAACGCGCCTTCGGACTGGTCCTTTGACAAGGTTCCTCGAGCCAAATTTTGGCGACGGTGATGGCAGCACCCTAACCGAATTCTAGTCCTGTTCTTGCAATAGCTCGCGTGACCTTATTCTAGCCTCTTCAACGCACTCCACTGTTTTATTGGATTTCCTGTCTGATTCGCATCCTTCTCCTTGATTGTGTCTTTTGTAGAATTAGTTACAGTGGGAATTATCCATGTCTCCTCCTACAGTATCTGTATCGTGGTTCCCCTGCACAAGTTCAGGACATAAATCCTTATGATTTCCATGACTCATCTAAATTCAATTTTAATTACCTAAATTTAGAATGCTTTATTAATAATAATAAAATGAAAATTTTATTTTTTAAAACAAATAATATTTAAGAGATTATCTTCATTTCAAATTAATGTGCCTATAAAAAGTACATATGCTTCAACAAAATTGGAGGGTGAACGTGATGTGGGTTGATAAGGGGGCTAATGGGACTCCTAATTTCTTCATTAAAAGAGCATTGTCATTAATGCTTAGAATGCATTTAAACCTCATCTGATATGATGGAAGAATTTTTATAAATTGAAATACAATTGAGTTATAAAAATATACTTGGTATGAAAATGAAATTTTAATAAATATATGTATTTAATAAAAAAAATAGGATTTTTGACTTTGAAACACAGTGATCTCACAGAGGGAGGGAGGGAGGGAGGGAGGGACTTGTGTGCAACAGAGAGAGAGAGAAAGAGAAGGAGCGTCTCTGGTAAAAGTGTTACACAAAGAGCCAATATATAGACCATTGGATGATTTCTGTTTAGATTTGAGATCCATCATCATTTAGAGCAAAGACGGCGAGCTTGTTGCTGCTCCTGCCGAGCTCACTGCAAAGGATTACGACATCGAATTATGTCACGCAAAGAGCCCATTGCACGGATTCTATTTCTATGTCCGAATCCCTATCCTTCTTATTGATTCCAAGGTACCAAATGGAGCCTCAGTTCCTGGTACTCTCGTGGGACAAATTCTTCACCAGGATGATGTCACTTAGTGTAGAATTTTACTTCGTTTTTTGAGTCTTCGTTTTTGTGATTTCCGTTGTGTGCAAAAAAAAAAAAAAATTATAGATTAATGGGCAAATGCAAAGCACATGGACATATGGGGGGTTCGGTGGATATGGCAAATGAAATGATTAGAAATCAGAAATGCAGGCGCTGCCTGACTTGGATTGCCATTCGCTGTGCTGTGTATTCCTCGTCACCCCCACGCCTTCCTGACTCACCAACCTTAATCCCTTCTTATCTTTCATTGGACCCCACATCATCACATCCATTTCATCATTTCATTTTTATATATGCTCGCAGTTTTCTTTTCCCAGAAAAATGTTTTGATCAACAATTTATTGTATACCACTTTGGTTTTTGAGTCTTTTTATCAGTTAAGATGAGAAGAATTCTTTTCATTACTTACGCATATCGTACTATTTAAAATAAGGTCACGCACTAAATTCTTTCAGTCAAACTTCTTAAACATATCATTATTTTTTATTATAATTTTTCCCTCTTATCCTATATATTAATTATTAAAATAAATATATTTAATAAATATTAAAATTTATTAAAATTTTAGAAATAGTTAAATGAATTTTAAAATTTTTCTTCATTCAGGTCAAGTATATTAAAAATGACTTACAAATAAATAAAATCAAGGAGTAAATATAATGGGATATTTTATCTTTTTTTTTTAGGAGAATGATAGAAATAACTCCCAAATAAATGACTTACAAATAAATAGAATTAAGGAGTAAATATCATGGGATATTTTATCCTTTTATTTTTAGGAGAATGATAGAAATAACTCCCAAATAAACAAATAACAATAAAGCAGTATGAGTTGTATTATTTATGTCTCAAGTTATAGCACATTTTTTAAAAATTTTTTATTTTAAAATATAAGACACTTTGAATAAATTAAAATTTTATTAAATACATCAATTTTAATATTATTTTTTTTCTCTATATAATTAATTTTTTTTATTTTTTTTACTATATTAAATGATGAATATTTTTAAAATTTTATATTTTTATTTTTAAAAAAATTATTAAATATATTTAATGAGATTTATTAATATATAAATTTTTATTTAAAAGTATTTTAAATTTTGAAATGGAGGGAGTATTAATTATTCTGAAGTTACAAGGTTGGTCAAAAAATTATGAAGTTCCAACGGACTTTTTCGGCATGAATTTTTTTTTTACAAAATTACTTTTTTAACCTTATGATTAATAAGGGGGCAAAAAAAAACACGCCCAACCCATCGATTTTGTGCTTCCCTCATCCTTGCGTGCCCACGATGCTTCTGGCTCTCATTTGCAGAACCCATGTTTCTTCGAGTGAGGACTATGCTTATCGCATCGCCAAGAACTCACTTAATGGGCAGCCATGTGAAGCCTCGTTAAGCTAGAATTATATATCTCGATGGTCAAGATTTCGCTTGCTTCAGCTAGCACCCTCACGGATGGCTCCGACCCCATACCCAATTCGAACAGAAGTGTCGTTTGTTGTCGATGTCTCAGCCATCATGGCGTCACTAAATTCCTCAAGATCAATTTCCCTCCTTTTACAGTTTTAGAATCTTGCTCTTCAAGGTTTTGCATCTATGTTTTTCTTTTATTTTTCAGTTTTGGGACTTCCAGAGGAGAGAGGAAGCCGACGCCGACGATCAAAGAGGTGCTGAAAAGAAGGTCATTTCTGTTAAGAGAAAGGGAAAGGATTGCACTTTTTGTTCATAAAATCGAAAGTGAAGGATCCAGGACGATTGGTGGCTTGTCCTTTGTTAAGTATCTCAAAAGCTCTTAATTTAACAACAGACCCTCCGATCTTTACACCAACAATGAAGCTTGTAATTGGACCAACTCTAAAGCGTGCAATTGCATTGTTGAAATGGAATATCCAAAATATGCCATCTTCTTTGCTTGAAGAAACTTGGGTTCTGTAAATGGAAGCCAAAAGCAGCTATGCGAGGAGGAACAAGGAGAGCACAAAATCAGTAATCTAAGTGTCTCTGTTATTAATCATAAGGTTAAAAAAATAATTTTGTATAAAAATTCATACCAAAAAAGTCCTTTGGGACTTCATAATAATTAATACAATTCATAGTATTTTATTTGTCTGTTTGGGAGATACTTTTCTATCATTCTCCATTTTTTTCTGGGCAAGAATATTTTATCCATACTCATCCGAATTTAAACAGAACGAAATAGAATTCAAGTGATGACCAACTCAAGAAAGGGGGAAGAAGGTCTAGAGTGCATATTTGATTTAGACTCTGAACCATATTTCATGATGCATGACCTCAGTCCATGAAAGATATCCAATTCATGGAGGCATGCGTGACTAACTGTAAATTAAGCGAAAGTGAACATATAATAAATTTCAAAAACAACACATACAATACTCATCTCCCATAACATGTTTTAGGATCTCATTTTCAACCCCCGCCCAAAAAAAAAACATTAGCGAGATCTCCCAACAAACTACCCCTATAAGGCTACAACTACAACTACTAGAATTTACAATTCAAAGCTCTAAAATTTCTAATTAGGAAGCAAAAGAACCCCAAAAAATTAAAATAAAAAAAAAATGGGACCTGGTCCACTCTTTCTCCATCCTCAACCTTGATAGTTGAATCCAGGTCAAAAGAAAAAAAAAAACCTTGATAGCTGAAAAAACGATGATCAGCACATAACCGCTTGCTCAAGTTCCCTGTTATTACTTCCCTCGCTTCCGACAAGTGAAAAATCATCACTTTCCATGACTAAATTCTCCATTTTCCTCGTTCTGGAGTACAACAATGGCGAATCGGCGGGTATCTCACCAATTGCCGCCAACTTTCCCAACTCCGTCTCTTCCAAACCTTTCGCTGGACCAAAACTACATGGTTCAGTCCCATATTTCGCCAACGCATCCTTCAATTTCTTGATCTGTAGCACAACAAATCCACATCAGAGACAAGACAAACCAGATGGATAATCTAAGACTTTAGAATCTGTGTTGGCTAAGATTCTTACAGTAGCAATGGTACAGCTGAAGCTACAGACTCGACCCTCCGATCCTCTGTAGAATCTAAAGAATGGCAACACATGAATGTGCAGACTATGACACAAGGGTTTTAACTTCTCGTGATCAACTTGAAGGAACTTTGCGTTTGGGTACATCTCAGCAATTTGACAGATCTGAAACAAACAAAGAAATTGCAGATTACAGATTTAGATGTTTTCCCCACATTGGGGATTTTCTTCTGCCTTTTTTTTTTTGAATTAACAAAAAAAAAGGAGGATACCTTGGGATGAAGGGCTTTGCAACCTCCACAACCGGGTGAGTAGAAGTCGACCACGACAAGTGAATCACCAGCTTCAAGCAAAGAACGGACCAGTTCTTGAGCCGAATGGATCTGAATCATATTAGGCGCCTTGGTCTTCTCCCACCATCTAAGGGCTCGGCTCACACAAGCTGATGCCTGCGTTTGATGCCAAAGATTTAATCCTTGTAAGTGGAATAATGAAACCAGAGAGTAAAACGCTTTTAAGTTTTAACATACCTGAACAGAGAAATTAGGATGGGTTTTCAAACTGCAATCCCACGAGCCTTTTCCTATAATGGGTTTCCCCATGATTTCATTGTTTAAAGCAGAGAAGACTCCCGAGTTTGCATCTCCGGATGTTGAGAAACAAACAGAGGAGGCGCAAATCCCCGAATCAGCCTTCGTTTTCGAGCCACGCAGATTCTCGTTCAACCCAAAAACACAGAAAACGCTCTTCAAGGAACAAGCCATTGATGGTGGTCAAACTGTGAGATTTAACAGGGCTTACTGGCTTAGATAATGAACAGTGGTAATACCCGGTTCGGCTTCCGACTCAAAAACCCGACCTTTTCTTTCCGGGAGTCGAAAAAGCTCGCTGCGACGAGGGAGAGAAGGATTTGTAGGTCTGTGAATCGACTCTTCAACGAAAGGTGAGAGGTTTGAACAAAACTGTGGTCTGCTTCAATGGTTACTGGTTTGGTGGGAGAAAGATTGTTTTTTTGTTTTTTTAATGTTGTACCAAACACCAGCAGAAAAGAGGAAAAGAGAAATGTGGCGAGTGGGGTCTGTGGTGATTTGGATTTAACTTTATGCATTAAATATTAAATATCCTGGTAAAAAGGAAAAAAGATTGTCCATTTATTATTTTCGCAGATAGAAAAAGAGAAGAGATATCCAAACTTTATCCACATGCCCGATATTTTTGGTATTTATTTTCGTTTTCCATTGGTCGAGCAAGCGGGGGCGTGTCACTCTTCCCCATGTGACGTCTTAACCACATATTATAAGAGATTGCGACCATCCCATTATTTTTATATTTTATTTTGGCCGTCGAATAGATGAAAACATTTATTTGATTTCATAGGTTTTTGTGCTTTGAATTTATTTGGTAGAGTCGTCCCGTATGTCGTTGTGTAATGTTGTGGTATGTCGTGTCCCTGGATTTGAAAGGTTTGACCGCGATGCTTTATCGTAAATCGGAATAATTAACCGTAACATTGAAAAAAATTCAAATAAATGTAATTTCTTTTTTATATAAAATATTAATTTTTTTCTTGCATTTAACAAAATTCTCTCCTCACATTCTACTTCACCCTTATTACTTAACAGAAAATCTATATTTTGTGTTGTCTGATTCAATAATGGATCCTAAAAATGTGTAAGGAATCTTCATCTGTGAATCTTTCTCTTGAACAGTTGAGTTGAGACTAAAAAAATTATTGAATTTTATTAGAGAACAAAACTAATCTTAGCTAAAAATACGTATATATTTTGTGTTATTTAATCCGAGAATAGATCCAAAAATGAGTATGGAATGTTCATTACTTTTTTTATTATTTACAAATATTTTTTTATTAAAAGCAATCTCATTCAAAATATGGCAAGGCATAAGGCATTAAATTTAGGCAACTTTTTCAATAAAAAATTTAAACATTAATTCACTTACTTGTGAAAAGCTAACCATTTTTGCTAAACCCAATATTTATTGAATTTATCACTAAATTTACATAGAAGAAACAAGTGGGAGATCCATGTTTATTAAATTTTATTTTAAATATTTTAACATTTAATATTTCGATGGATATAAAGTATAAAAATAAATTTTTAATTATTATTCTAACTATAATTCTAACTTAATAATAAGAAGAACAATCTAAATTCCAGTCCTTTAAATTAAATTTCGATTATTTCAGTTGATCAAAAATTAAATTTTGACTATTTAAATGCATTTTAAGATTAAACATCAAACCCCTATCTTGTGCCCCGTAAAAACTCGATGAAATAAATGAATAATGTACTCCCTCTGTCCCTTGTTAGTTGTTACAGGTTTTAATTTTTCAAAACACGCATAATAAATCAATACTAAAATCCAAGGGCTTGTTTAATATGATAGAAAAGGAAGATATAGATATGAAAATGAAATTAAAAAAAAAATTGATGGAATCACAATAAAATTCAAGTTTTCAAATATCATTTTTTTACCCTTCCCTCTCTCGATCTTCTGTCTTCGACTTCTCCGCCTCATCTTCGCAACCACCGCTGCCGAGCTTCTCGGCGATGACAACCTCCAACCTCCGGTACCCAGCGATGGCGACTTCCGTCTTGCAACTCCTCGTCAGATCTGGTAACAATGATATTCACATCTTTAACCAAGGACTTCTGGCTCCAACAACCGCGACAATGAAGGTTCTAGGTTGACGGCTCCATCTTCAACCTTCGCCGTCTGCATTTACTGATAGTCCATTTTTCACTCTTCCACCTTCATTGTAGCTAGCGAGAGCCCTATTGAAGAAAATGTTTTTGTATCTCTGACCCATATCTAAATATATGGAATCCCTGCATCTCTTCACTTTTCGGAGGGAAGTGAATCCCAAAAACATGATAGCTAATAAAGTTTTTTCTTTTTTTCCTTGACATGGAAAAGAAGTGGACGATGGTTCAGATTGTTGGAGGTGGATGACAGTTCTGGAAGGTTGATTGTTATTCTGAGTTCGCAGATACTTTTTTGGTTGTTGGGTATTCTAGTCATTTCATATATATATAATAAATACAGATTTTATACCATCTGCATGATTATACCAAATATATTTTTAAATTTTATATCTATCTCTCTATCTATGTTCATCTCCATCTTTATATTTATTTCTATCAAAAAAATTTCAGTTGTACCAAATGAGCCATGAGTGTTGTGTGAAAATGTGATTTTTCTTTCTTTCTTGTTTTTACCTTCAATCAAATGCTACACTATTTCAAATATATAAGAAGAAAATAGTTAATTTTGATATTCTTTAAATGATATTTTCAGAAACGTACTTTAATTATACGTAGAAATTTGTATCAAGACTTGTTCCCAAGCAACACCGTGTAAGGTACTTTATTTTATTATATTTATAAATTATTTTTAATATGTTTCACTAAAATAATCTTAAAAACTTATCTGAAAATTTAATAAGTTATCAATTTTAATCATGTTAAATTACATATTTTATTTCATCGTCATTTAATGGCATAAAAGATGAGACTTGTAATAAGAATTTAATAACATAATTTATGCATAAGATAAAAAAATTCTATCTCTATTTTATTAATAGAATTGGAGGCTTGGGAGAACATTTTCTGTAAGATATTGTTGGTCCAAAATTTACAATTGTTTGTAACTTCAAAAAAAAAAATCTTTATGTTCTTGCTCCTATGTTTGTTCGTGTGTGCTGAGTAATTATGTAAGAAAAATCTTGGGTGTTGGTTTTAAACAGTCTTACAAACTGGAAAAATAAAAAAAAAATCATAAGATATAGAAAAAATTGATTTTTTGTTTAATACACCATGATGAATGTTGGAATTGTTCGATATATTTTGGATCAACCAGAGTGCTCCTGCTGCTTGTTATTATAAAAGAAACTACCATGTATTTTGTTGTTTTTCATAAACAAAAATACAAATTTAAAAAAGAAACATTTATTACATTTTTCTTTCAAATTGCCCTCCTAAATAGATAGTATTATTTAGGAGGAAAAGTAAACATTAATTATAAACACATTTTAGTTGAATTCTAGACATATTTATTAGGATTGACCGGCTTTTTTAAATTGTGTTAGTTTATTATTTTTCTCTTATATTAGTATTTAAAAACTATGGCAAATTATAAGGTACCTTTTTGAGGCAAAAAAATGATCACATACTTAGTAGCACCTGGATGCTTGACTTAAATTAAATATGGATGGTGCTTTCTCTAAGACACAAAACATTACAAGGTGCGGTGGCTTGTTTTGGGAATCATGTGGTGAGTTCAAAGCCCGGTACATATTCAGTATATATGAATGGTGATGATTCGTTGCCTACTGCACTCTATGTTTGCACATGAGATCTAAAAATGACTTGGGACCTTGGGTATCAAGAATTGATTCTTGAATCAGATCGTCAAACTTCTCATTGATGTAGAGTATTCTTCCCATCCAAATAGGGAAGTTATTTACTTCCACTGGCTAAGTTTTGAATTGTGAATGTACTTACTTCATTTTTATTTGTAAAAAAAATATCATTTTTATTTATTTTTTTATATAAAAAAATCACCTATTTCAATAAATATTTATTACATATTTACTAAATCATTCTTCATAATTTAATTAACAAAAAACTAATTCATATATTATGTTTATGTTGATTAACATAAGTCTTTTAGTTCAATTATTTTATTTTTAAATATAGTTATTATAATTAATTAATTTTTTTAAATTATGTGATACAATTTTTTTATATAAAAAATATAAAAAATGAAGTGAGTATCTCACAACTCGAGGTGACTTGCTAAATAGGTTTTGTCCAACATTGTTGGTTTTTATTCCTTTTTTCTCTCCCTCCTCCCGATTTTGTTCTTGTGTTGCAGGACGGTACTACTATTTAGATGCTTTTCTCAATTGTTATTAAAAAAAAAAAACTGAGCATGGCAAAATAAATTTTAAAAGTGAGACTTGGGCGGACAACTTCATCTGAATTCAAGAATTCCTAATGGTTAGATCAAGAATTTTATGCACCATTAATGATAATAATAACTAAGATCTGATAAAATTCTGGCATCAATAATTGAACCTAGTATGGCGCATTCAGTTTAATAATTCAATACAGTTGGTAGGATCGCTGGCCAAAGATACATTTGGTTGAAAAAAAGCACCCAAAAAAAAAAAAAAATGATTCAACAATCAAGAGTATATTGATCACCTCAACGGGAACTGGTGTAATTAATTAATTAATCAATCAATCCCTATAAAAATCCTAAAAGACCACGACCCTATATACAAGTATGAGGAAATTAATCATTTTTTTCAATTCTTGAATTTTAACTTATTTTAATTCACTCCATTTTTTTTTCACTCCATATATTTTTAATTATTTAAAGTTCTTGTCATTATATTTTAAAAAATAAAATTATAAAGACTAAATTTATTTTTTAAAACTTAGATACTAACGTTTTAAATTGTTGGAATTATAATATTTCATCCATTTTCAAATATAAGAGAAATTAATAAATTATCATGTACATATTTTTTATAATATATCTCTTTACTAAAATTTTTATAATTTTTATTAAATTAATTTTTGTTATTATATTTTTTATTTTAATGTATTTCTTTGTTTCTATTTACAAGCAAAGCTACAAATTTCAAGAAGCATTTATTGCATTTTTTTAAATTGTCCTCCATAAAGTAATGTTTAGTCTCACTAAATAAATTTATTTTATTAATTAAAAAGATAATTTAATCCAAATTTATTTTCTCTAATTTAATCCAAATTTATTTTCTCTTATATTTGAAAAGTACAGCTTAAATTGTAATGAGTTAAAATTTAAAAAATAAATTTAACTCTTAACTAATTTAAAACTTTAGGAATTAAATTATATTGAGTTAAAAATGATTGGTGCTGTAATGTCAAAACCAAACCAATAGCTCTGGATTGAGTTTGTGAAAATATAAAATTTATATTAAAAAAACACTCCTTATAGTACTATTTATAAATTATAAA